AATACTGTATCAGTTAAACAAATTATACTGATAATTTAAAAATCTTCCCCCCTCCAAAAAAATTTTAGGCCCAGGTAGCTTCTTCACTAACGAATATTTTACATATCTAAGAAGGAAAGGATAGCCATGTTACAGAAACTGATTCCAGAGCATAGGAAAAAAGGGAAAGATGTGTTTTTTGGTTTTTCATTTTCTGTTTTTGAGACAGGGTCTCATGTCATCCAGGCTGGAGTGCAGTGGCACAATCTCGGCTCACTACAACCTCTGCCTCCCAGGTTCAGGCAATTCTCATGCCTCAGCCTTTCAAGTAGCTGGCATTACAGGCATGTGACATCACACCTGGCTCTTTTGGGTTTTTTTTTGTTTTTTTAGTACAGATAGGGTTTCCCCATGTTGGCCAGGCTGGTCTCAAACTCCAGACCTCAAGTGATCCACCTGCCTTGGCCTCTCAAAGTGCTGGTATTACAGGCAGGAGCCACCAGGCCCGACCTAAGACTTCTTGTTTTAAAAGCCTAACATATATTCGATAGCATGACATGATAAATATTATAATATAAAAATCTTACAAATGGCACTCATTAACATAAATTTTAAAAATTAAAATATCAGGGAATTGAATATAATAAAATATTTAAAGGAAGAACATATCACAACTAAGTTGAATTTATTCCAAGAATGCAGAGTGGGTTTAATATTCAAATTCCAAAGGCAAAATAAAGGGAAAAATTTCATGATCCACTTAGATGCAGATAAAATTTAATAAAACTTAATATCCATTCATGATTAAAATGTTTAAGCAAGGTAGAAACAGAAAAGAACTATCTCCAATACAATAAAAAAGCCACAGCAAATACCACACTTAACTGTAAAACAGTGAAAGATTTTTCCCCTGAGATTAGACCAAGGAAACAATGGCTGCTGTCACTACTGCTCTTCAACATTGTACTACAGGATCTAGCCAGAGCAATAAATGAAGAAAGGGTAATAAAAGGTATAAAGATTGAAAAAAAATTTAAAAAACCTTCATTATTTGTGAATGATGCAGTTATGTACCTAAAAGATACAATAAAATCAACTGATAAGCTATTAGAACTAAGTGAATTTATCATGGTCCCAGGGTACAAGATCAACACATAAAAATAAATTATATTTCTATATTCCAGCAATAAGCCTTAAAAATAATGTTTACATTCAATGTATAACAATATCAATAAAATAAAAACATGTACCATATTCATAGGCTGGAACACTCAGTATTATAAAGATGTCAGTTCTCCCCAGATTGATCTCCAGATTTTATACAATTTCAATCAAAAGCTTAATAGGCTTTTTATAAAAATTGGAAAGCTAATACTGAAAGGTGTGGAATTTCAAAGAACCAAGAATAGCCAAGGAAATTAAGAACTAAATTAAAAGATATATACTACTAGATGTAAAGACTAAGAATGGGCCTCTAGTAATTAAAGCAATGAGACAGGACAGGCAAAAATACCAATGGAACAAAAGATGTCTATATTTTTATTTACACATACATAATCACCTAATTTAAGGCAAAATTACCACTGCAATGAAAGAGGGTCTTTAAAATAAATGATGCTTAAGTACCTATCCATTTCAAAAAATAACAAATGTTAAACCTATCACAGACAACACATAAAAATCAAATCAACTGAGTGCAGTAGCTTGTGCCTATAATCCCAGCTACTCAGGAGGCAGAGGCAAGAGGATCTCTTGGAGCCAGGAGTTCAAGACCAGGCTGGACAACATAGAAAGACCCTCATCTCTAACATTTGTTTTTAATTAGCTGGGCCTGGTAGCAGTCACTTGTAATCCCAGCTACTCTGGAGGCCAAGGCAAGAGGATCTCTTGAGCCCAAAAGTTCAAAGCTGCCCAAAAGTTCCTGAGCTATAGTCAGGCTACTACGCTATAGACTAGGAATCAGAGTGAGACCTTATCTCTAAAAAAAAAAAAAAAGAAAAGAAAGAAAGAAAAGAAAAGAAAAAGAAATTAGATGCAGTGAACCACAGACCTAAATGTGAAAGGTCAAATAGTAAAGTTTTTTAGAGAAAAACATACAAAAAAACCTTCATGACGTTGGAGTAGGCAAAGGTTTCTGAAATGTGGCACTACCCATGAAAACTAGTAATCTTAAGAAGAGCTTAATAATTTGAGCTGCTTTCAAATTAAAATCCTATTTTTATTTAAAAAATTAAAAGGTGAAAATGCAACATATAGAATAGGAGAAGATATTTACAACACATATATATGAGATAGGACTTGGATTCAATACATAACTCTTACAATAAGAAAAGACAGATAAATTTTTTAAAAAGAGACAGAAGACCTGAAAAAACACTTCACAAAAGAGGATATGTAAATTGCCAGTATGCATATGAAAAGATAATCAACTCGTAATTTTCAGAAAAGTGCAAATTAATACCAGTGAGCTACCACTACGCACCCACAAGAATGGCTAAAATAAAAAGGATTGACAACACTGTTACCAAGAATGTGGAGCAACTGGAGTTCTCATGCAATGCTGGTAGAATGTAAACTGGTAGAAACACTTTAGAAAAGTTACTGAGAGTTCTCATTAAAGCCTTGCTTATGACCCATTGCTCTATTCAGACTAAAGTCAAAATAAGTGCATATATATATATATATATATATATATACCAAACAACATACTATATTTATAAAATATTATGTGTAATAGCCTAGAGATAGAAACAACCCAAATTTATTTAGCATGAAAAAATAATTCGTGATATATTAATATAATATTCAGACTACTGTTATCCAAAATGATACAGATGAATCATAGACATAATGTGAAATGAAAGAGACTAGATGTAAAAGAATATATGATTCAACTTACATAAAGTCCAAAAACAAGCAAAACTAATCTTTGGAGCTAGAAGTCAAATACCAGTTACATTTGAGGTGTGTGATAACTAGGAAGAAGAACAAAGAAAGCTGTGAGAGTGTTGGGGATGTTCTATTTCTTATTTCAGGTGGTGGTTAGCAGAGTGTTTTACTTTGTTAAAGTTTATAGATATTGGGGCACTTTTCTATATTTATGCTAAGCTTGAATTAAGAAATACAAAAAAAAAGAGAAGAGCTTTATTCTTTACTGCCCAACTATTTTCTTTCTCACCTACTTACCTTTGTTTCTTCTCTTTTCCTTTAGGTCAATTTTTTTTTAGTCCTTTAAATATCCAAATAGACATTTTGTAGACATACCAGACACAGCTACTACATTCTCTGCCTTCTTGCCATTTGATAGAACTATTTCCTGATTTTTTTTTTAAAACTAGATCACAGAATAAGAAGTCATGCCAGGTGCGGTGACTCACGCCTGTAAGCCCAACACTTTGGGAGGCAGAGGCAGGCAGATCACCTGAGGTCGCAAGTTCGAGATCAGTCTGACCAACATGGAGAAATCCCATCTCTACTAAAAATACAAAACATCAGCTGGGCGTGGTGGCAGGTGCCTGTAATCCCAGCTACTCGGGAGGCTGAGGCAGGAGAATTGCTTGAACCCAGGAGGCAAAGGTTGCCATGAGCCAATATCTCACCATTGCACTCCAGCTTGGGCAACAAGAGTGAAACTCGGTCTCAGGAAAAAAAAGAAGAAGTCATAAGCTTACATGACACTGAAATATTTTTTTCTCCCAGAACTTACTACATACTTGATCAAGCTACTCATAATATGTGGCCATAATTATTTGCCTGTGTGTTTAGCTTCTTATTTGGTTCTAAACTTCTTCAGATAAGAGGGCATACATAATTAATCCTTGTGATCCTACTCCTATCCTTGTCTTTGCCACATAGTAGGAACTCAATGAATTGACCTAAATAACTGTATAATCCGTTATGAAATCTTTAAGAGTAGCCTGAGGGCTAGTATTGAAAGAGGCTGAAATATCCTATTTCTCCAGAGCAAAGAACTAGATTACATGACCACTTGAGAGCCCTTCTCTCTACCAGAGTCTATGATTGAATGACTTGCTAGTAACTTTTACAGCCTTCCTTAGTTACTCATTGTACCAGTTGATATGCCACTGAGATTTGCTTTGCTCTTGTTCTTTTCCTTTATTTTCCTTTTCATAAACACACACACACACACAGACACACACATAGATTTGTATTTGTTGGTCCTTTACAAATTACTTCTGAGCCACATAGATTAAAATACATCCTTTTTAATTTCACAACCTATGTTTGAAATTCAGAGTTCTGAATTTTACGTCAGTGACCCAGATCCATTTCCAGATACAAAGTGAGGGCTTCAAGTTTCCTGTAGCTCTCATTTGCTAATAGGAATTTGTTTATTTTATACCTCATTTTTTCCCTGCTCCAGACAATAGCTATTGCTTATAGTATCACATGTTGGAATGACAGAAATTATTAATTATGAAACAGATTAACCTGACCTAGTAGGATCCTATCAAGAAGACTTGATGGTCATAGGGGAAAAAAATGTTTGAAATGAAAGGAAAATAAGATAATTAGAAAGTATCTGCCGCTAGGCATTTAATATAATTTTTTCCTTTTGTGTCCAAAGCAACACTAATGACCTTTCAAGAACAATTGTTATTGAGTAGATAAATTTTGAATGGTCCTAAATTCACGTGATAGCATTTCATGATTCAAACTTGCTGAAATTCAGTGTATTAAAACTTTATTATTTGATTATAAACTGTAAACTTTAACTTCTCAGTGATTTTGTTTTTATATACTAAGCCGTATATGCAAGCTATGGACTTATAAAACAATTATATTCAAAAGCCTAAATGTAGTTTGTCAAAATAAGTACTAAAAATTACTATGCCTCAGTTCTGTACTTTGATTTCCTTTGTTTACAACATGTCATCAAAAAAAAATAGAAGAAATATAATATAAAAAAAAAAAAAAAAAAAAAAGAAATATATTTGACTTCAAGTTTCTTGCAGCCCTCATTTCTCATTACAGCACACAGGTAGTTTCCTTTCACTTACTTTCTTGTTAAAAGGTACAAAACGCTCACTCTGTCTCCCTCTTCCATTCATGAGTAAAAGAAGAAGATTTCCATTTCTGCTACTGATTCAACCAATTGAAGCCTCTTTTCTCATTCTGCAAGCAAAAATAATAAGATCACATGTTAGTCAACCTTGATCCCAACTCTTAACACTGTAGGATCTTGACATCCAGTTAGATTGGGATTATTTCACAAATGTAACAATGATTGATAGAAGGCCAGCAGCATTTCTCCTAATTGTGGTTTCCCTTAGAGTATTAGAACTAGGCCTACAGGGAAAGAATAGTTATTCTTGATGCAGCCTCATGTAGGCAGGGTATTGGCAAAGCCAGCCTTTGGCACAAGCTAAAGAGGCAGCTAACTTGTGTGGTCTGAAGAGTTTGAAGTGTTTTCCACTGTTTCTTCCAAGACACCTCTAATTCCCACACTGCTTACTTTTTGAGTTAAAGTAAATGTTATCCAGGAACTATAATACTCTCATGTGAACTCGTTTTCTAAACTAAGTTACTCAAGAACTTATGAATTGGACAGAGAAAGATAATTTGGGGGCAAGGAATAGAGAGAGAGAGAGAAAGTGTTTAGAAAGTCGGGAGAGAGGGATCAGCCAAAGCCAAGACATGGAGGAGAAAACCTCAATGTAGAACTAAGAGAAAGACCGTGAACTGACCACAGCAGACTTTAAAAGAGTTCTAAAATATGGATCTCACAGATGACATAATATTGAATGTTTTCACTGGGTAGCAAAATACAATACAAAAGACAAGATATCTCATAAAAATGCAATTTTTCAAAGAAATGACCAAAATACTTGTTTGGTGGTTCTGAAGATCCCTCAGCCACAAAGAGGATGTAGCCGTGTGCAGGGAAAACAGTCACATAACACAATGCAATTACACTTTATTATTACTAACAGTACTAATAGTAATAGCAATAATAATGTTCCAAAGTAGCTACCATTTATGAAAGACCTATTATATGTCAGGCACTGTGCTATGTACATGGCACATATTATCTAATTTTCATGACAATCCTACCTAGTAGTATAGTTTCCACTTTAACAGTGAGCAAAATGAGATGCAGAGGGGTAAGTAATTATCTTAGATCATTCAGCTATAAGTGATCAAACCATTATCTGACCACAAAGAGGACTTCAAAGTGATAAACTCTCATTTGACTATACCACATTGTATCAATGCCACATTACAGAATTTTATTCAACAAGCACTGAAGAGTCCTTTTGATAGGTATAAAAGAAAGAGAATGAGAGCCTTCCTTAGTTACTCATTGTACCAGATGACATGCCACTGAGATTTACTTTGTTCTTGTTCTTTTTCTTTGTTTTCCTTTTCAAAAAAAAAAACATAGATTTGTATTCGTTGGTCCTTTCGAAATTACTTCTGAGCCACATAGATTAAAATACACCCTTTTTAAGAAAGAATCTAGCAGCCCTCTGCATTGTGGCTCTACAGCATGCATTTCTGCCACTCTGGCCACCATGACATGGCAACAGACAAGAAGTCAGTCACTACTCAGCCCCCTTGCCCATTCCCAAAGCTTTATAAATGAGTCATTAAACATGCTTCAGAAGAAAGTTGTGGTATTGGAATTCACTCTCAGGTCTTATCCTTCCCAAAGCACAGCTAGGACACTCCACTTAGAAATTTTACATCATAAATACATACATGACTAATATTCTTCTATTGCTAATCAATCCACCTGTAGAAACTAAGCTAAGGAAAAGTCTGTGACAGAAAGCCAAAAGGCCATTTCAAAAAAGGTGTCCTCCATTTTATGTTCTTTCATTATTATTATTATCATTATTCTCTTCAAGGACACTAGAACTGGAAGCCAATGAAAGAAAAATCCTTGAGCAAGTCTAGCCAGTCATTTCAAGTAAATAATTCAGATGTTGAAAGTCTGATCTATGGGCTATTGAGTCACATAACCACCAACATAAGAGTTTAGGAATCAAGACACAAACTTTAAGAAACCCATTTAATGTGTCCTTCCTCACTAAGAGTAGAAGTCTATACCAAAATATATGAAAATTACAAATAATAACTTGAGGTAGTTTATCACAGTGAATGTAAATTCTTCATACAATTATTTAAATAAATCTTAATTCTTTTAAACATTGCAGACCAAGAAATTTTCAGTCACTACTGGAAAGTACTGCAAATCAAGATTTTAATTTTCTATTATGTACTTCTTCACCTTGCTTACTCACAATGACCCATTCAAAGATCCAAAGTACAACATCTATATCAGCTGGAGTTATCCTGACCAGACACACTGCACCTACAGTAAGGTTACTATAGTTGATTAAATACTCTGGGTTCATTTTGCCCTTTTTTTAATTCAAAAATATGTTTCTCTCTTAAAACAAGGCAACCAAATGAAGCAAATACATAGAACTAGGCATTTTTCCCATTTAGTTGTCTAAAAAAGTCTAGTTGCCAACCTCTTTTTTTAAATATGCCTACCTATATAAACACCTAGATAAAATTGCAGATACTTGGATAAAGCTCCAGGAACATTAAACCCAAGGTGAATTCTGAAACAACTGTGTCACATTGAAACCAAAGCTTCATTGATCGGTATCGGCCAACTACAAGGTATGTATTCCACTGAGTGCCTGAGGATGAAATCACCTCCTGGCTCCCATTAGCTATTGGCAGCAGCATAAGAGCATTGCACCTGGGAATGTTTTACTTTACTGGGAATCTGAGTAACCAAAAAAAAGATAAAACCACTGAAAAATCTTATTGTTGACCACGAAAGAACGATAATTAGGCAAAGAGGAAGTGATGCTTCCCTATGCCTTCTTAATCCCAGAAGTGCTAGGAAATAAAACGCCATGACAGTCTGTTCAATATGATGTTGGGAAAACTGAATATCCATATGCAGAAGAATGAAACTAGAGCACTGTCTTTTGCCATATACAAAAATCAAATCAAAATGACTTAAAGATTTAAGTCTAAGACCTCAAACTACAAAACTACTACAAAAAGCATTTTGGGAAACTCTCCAAGAAATTGGGGTGGGCAAGGATTTCTTGAGTTATATCCCACAAGCACAGGTGACCAAAGCAAAACTGGACACATGGGATCACATCAACTTAAAAACCTGCACAAAAAAGGAAACAGTCAACAAAGTGAAAAGACAACCCAAAGAATGGGATAAAATATTTATAAACTATCCATCTGACAAGGTATTAATAACCAGAATATATAAGGAACTCAGACAATTAACTCTACAGGAAAAAATCTAATAATCTGACTTTAAAATGGCCAAAAGATCTGAATAGACATTCCTGAAAAGAAAACCCACAAATGGCAAACAGGTATATGAAAAGGTACTCAAATCATTGATCAACAGAGCAATGCCAATCAAAACTACAGTGAGATATCATCTCACTGGCTGTTATCCAAAAGACAGACAATAACAAATGCTGGAGAGGATGTGGAGGAAAGGGAATCCACTGTTAGTGGGAATGTAAATCAGCACAACCACTGTGGAAAACAGTTTGAAGGTTCCTCAAAAAACTAAAAATAGATGTGTCATATGATCCAGCAATCCCACACCAAAAGAAAGAAAATCAGCACATGGAAGAGACATCTGTACCCCCATGTGTATTACAGAACTATTCACAAAGCTGAGATTTGGAAACAATGTAAGTGTCCATCAACAGAATGTGATGGATAAAGAAAATGTGGTACATATACACAATGGAGTATACTATTCAGCCATAAAAAATAATGAGATTTTTAATGATATCTTGTCATTTGCAACATGGATGGAACTGGTTGTCATTCTGTTAACTGAAATAAGCCAGGCACAGAAAGACAAACTTTGCACGTTCTCATTTATTTGTGCATGCTAAAAATTAAAACTCATGGAGACAGAGGCTAGAGTGATAGTGACCAGAGGTTGGCAAGGATAGTTGTTGGGGGAGGTAACAGTGGGAGAGAAGTGAAAATGGTTAATGTATACAAAATGTACTTTAAAAAATTAACTAAGAGCTAGTATTTAGCACAACATGGTGACTATAGCCAAAAATAACTGTGCATTTAAAAATAATTAAAAGAGTAGAACTGGATTGTTTGTAATACAAAGAAAGGATAAAGCCTTGAGATGATGGATACCCCATTAACCCTGATGTGACTATGACCCATTGCCTGCCTACATTAAAATATCTCATGTACCCCATAAATATATACACCTGCTATGCAACCACAAAAGTTAAAAATTAAAAAAAATAATAAAATAAGATAAAAATAAAACCTAATGGTGGATAATAAGAAAGAGGAGGGCACAGAAAGACCCCAAGAAGATGTATACAAGCATGACTTGAACTGGAGACTCTGGACCATCTCTAATTGTCTCCTTCCTGGAATCATTCAGTAAACTACAAAAGATATGCTTTAAGGACTTTATTTAGCAACCAAAAGTAGAGAAGTAAGAATAGTAAGCACATGGATTGTTCTACTGTACTTACTGGGACTATTCACTGATTGATTTCTACCTATCTATTAAATATTGCTTTAACATTAAGTCTGAATTGGTTCATGTTCAGTATTTGAATCAGGAGACTTAGTGAACTCTTCTTGGCTGTATTATTGTTGTGTGACTATGAAAAGTAACCCTCCTTCCCTGCTTCAACTTTCCCCACCTATACAATGCAGAGAATAATAAATCCCATCTATCTCAGGTGGACATAATGAAGAGGATTCCAGGTTAATAATTTATAAGACTTCTGGGTGAATAATTCTACATAAATGCAAGCATGAATGGAAAAGCCAGTAATAAACCACGTTATTTGACACCCAAATTTAGTATTTCATCTACAACAATACCACTGTTTTTTAAAAAGTAACTGTAAATAGTCTCTCAGAGCTTGCTTTCCATCTTATCTCAATCACATCCTGCATGACTTTCTATTTTCTATTTTCTGTTTACTATTTTCAATGAAGGAAGGTGTTTTCCAACACAAAATAGATGAGAGTTGTCAACTGCTTTCTTTTTACTCTTAAATTTTTAGAAAACTTTTTCACTGGATGAGTGATCACTTGCTCAGCTACTGAGTGGCATTTTAGATTTCTAAGTAAATAAAATATCTTCAGATTTCTGATTATATATGACCACAAATGAAATCCACCCTTGGAGTTTATACTACTTAAATAACAACCTACCCAACTGACAGTAACAGTTTGCTTAGTAAACTAGTGTCTGTCATAATTTAGAAGGAGGGAGACATGATAACATAAGTCAAATTGTATTTTGTTTTATATATCATTATATACTGTTTTTAAATGTTATGTGCTAGGAATATTACTTGAAAAATTCATGTTTTTATCACATTTTCCTTTTTTAGAGTTGTTGATAACTTATACATTTTTAAAAACTGTAACAATATTATGCAATCAAGCTACTTTACTAGAATGAAAGAAATAGTTCTGCCCAGCTGTTACAACATATCAGACATACAGGTAACAAAAAATATTTAAGTGGCTCTTATCTGATAACAATGTTAAAGAGTAAGGCAGAAAGAATAGGGCACACTGGTAAGAACATACTAAATCAAAACTTCAACATGGAAGACATAAGTACTGAGAGGTTCCTGAAAACATCCTCAGGAGGCAGACAAAACTACCACACAAAAATCAATAGAATTCAGCTCTTGTTGAACAGTTCTATCAACAAGGCATTGGATAAACAAGCAAGTACCCAGTTGGAATAGATCCTTAAAATATTAATAGCAACCGTAGCCCTGAATCAATAGTCTTCATAGGTACAATTACAAGTTAACACTTTCATCGGTCTTTTTTGGCATAATCAAGTACAGATAACATATTATTGATTGTTAAAAATCTATACCTAAATAGAAATAAAAACAATTTTTTAAAAAGGAACAATCATGATTCTTCAAGTCAAACCATGGAATTTGTTTTACACCTGCCCAATAAAAGCAAGCCTTTAAGTTCTATGATAAAATCATAGTAAATTTATTCAATAACTTTAGCTAAACCAACAGGTCATTTCAACCCTCAAATTGTGTGAGTGCATCCTGATAAACACTGAGCACAATTAAGTGTTGTTTCAAAATTTTAAAACAATGACAACTCTTTAACAGTAAAAGTAATTGGTAGAGTCTGTCATTTTTGAGAAGACAAAAGCTCATTGAAAGCAACAATCATTTACACATAAACAGCTTATTTCAATTGCAGCAGTTATTACTGTAATTGTCTGGTTATCTATGGCTTCTCAACAAATTACCCCTAAACTGAGCGGCTTAAAAGAAAAGTTTTTTGTTATACTTCATGTTTCCATGTGTTGAACAGGCTTAGATAGACAGTTCTTGCTGGATTTCTTATGTGACAGCAGTCATATGGTAGCTGGAGCTGAAGGCTCACTTAGGCTAGTTGTTCAGCATGGTTTCTTCACTCATATATCTGCCACCCCAGCTGATATGTCTGGAACATCTGAGGACTGGCCAGGCACAGTGTTCGTTTCTCTCCTCCTTGCCCCACCCTTCCTTTCTCTGTCTCTCTCCTTCCTCTCTTCTTCTCACCCTCTTTTTGTGCAACCTCTCTATATGGCACTGGAAGAATTCTTACAATATGACAGCCTCAAGAGTAATGGGTTTCTTATGTAGTAGATGGCTTTCCCCAAAGCATGTGTTCCAATAAAATGTGGAAGGTGCAAATCCTCTTATGATCCAGCCTCACAACTCTGTAGTGTCACTTTCTCTGCATATTAGTTACACATGGCAAGCCCATATACTATAAGGAAATGTATACTATATATCATGGTATGTGGTATATAATACATACTATAAGGAAAGAGGGGTAAACATTTAGAGGCCTGGTTCATTGAGGGGTCATCTGTAAAGATCAGTCACCAGAACAACTAATAAGACACAGTAAGATCAATGAACATTTTTGTTGTTGTTGTTGTTAGTAATAGTATTATAATTATTAATTTGTCCATTCAAAAAGGGCTAAGTATTATAGAAATAACCAGATTTCTTTCCAATGAAAGATTTTACATTCTCATAATTGGTAGCTGGGAAAAAGAAAAAATAAAATGGTTAATTCTGAAAGCACTGATAGGCCAATATCGCTATTGCTTTGCATTGTAACCTTAGATAACAGAACATTCTTAAGCTTTGGTTCTATGATTGGTGTCATCACCTAATATGGCTTCTATCATTATGTGCAAAGAAATGTATCTTCTCTCAGAACAGTAAAAGCAATAGTTTACATTTAACTGATACTAAATTTTAAAGCATTTAGTATCAGTTTTTTTAAAGGTAGCATACAAAGGCTCTATGGTAGTTCAATGTGGAAGGATTGTCTTTTAAATAAATTGTGCTGAGTTAATTGCCTATTAATTAAAAAAATGAAATTTGTTTTTTATCTCACAACATTTAAAAAATACAATAGATTAAAATCCTAAATGTAGAAGTTAAATCAAGTAGAGCTTCTGTCTTCATCATGATGGATTAGCTTATACCAGGTCAACAGAGCGATGATAAACAACACTAGAAATTTTAAAATACATGAGTTGACACTTTTCTATTTCTTAACAAAGATGGTACAGGAGTGTGGTATCTGAGAGAAAGGAAACATGAGGCAAGTCCCAAAATCAACACAACTTTCTATCTAAAAGCACTTCTAGACCATGGCCTGGAAAAGTAGAGTCCAAGTCAGGAAAAAAAAATTCTGAGGAAAGAAAAATAAGAGTTGGGGGTTGCTGAAGTGGCAGAATGGCAAAATGTTTCAAAGCAGGATGCTAGAAGGAGAGAACTGCACAGAGAAGACACTCCAAAAACCGGCATGGGGGTCTCCTTCAGTCTTTGGCTGATTATTAAGCTGTGAGAGTGAGGCTCTATGGCATTCTGGGGAGCTGAGAGCTGAATGAAGATCCTGCAAGTCTCCCAGTATTAGAATACAGAAAAGGCATGCGTTAGATTATGCCAAGTCTATTACTAGTGTAGAGACTGCTTTAGAGTTGCCTGAACTGAGCTTAAAAATAGCCATCACAGAAAGGAGACTAATCCACTAATAAACTTATTGTGTACCAGAACAAAAAACAGTACTCAAAAAAAAAGAAAAGACAAAACAGCAGCAACAAAGGCCCAGACTCCAGGCAATGTAGTAATCTCTATGTCCTTAGGCAATAAAATTACTA